GTATTGTCCTCACCAAAAGATGACAGACGGTCATTTACGACGCAAAAAGGGGCTGTCTCGGTATAGTGATGCGTCCTGTATACTGACTGGAAAGGCTCAAAAACGTCGCACCGAGTGAGGTGATTCAAGAGTTGACGGAGAACGAATTTCTCCAATATCTTCGATACAAATGGTAGATTGGAGACGGAGCAATAATTGTCCAAGTCATTTGTGTCGAGATTCACCGTCTTTAGCAGTGGAGTGACAACCGCCTCTTTAAAAGAGGATTGAACAATACAAAATTTTAAAGAATAAGGAGTGATCTTATAAATAGAGATGCAGAGCAAGTTACATTCTAGATCCAAGAAATATATAAATATTTTGTTTCATAGGAATGAAGAGAAGTGTCTCTAAACAATAACATTTTATTAAGAAGAAGGGGAAGTAACAGTTGATTTTACTATTTAAATTATTATCAACATTGTGAATCATAAAGATCAAGCATGAAAAAGTTACAGCTCAGAATTCTTTTTTCTTTTTTGGTTGGTTTTTTTTGTTGTTGTTTTTTGTTGTTTTTTTCCTATTGCTGCCCACAGATACTACTTACCAGCTAAGTGCTATTTCTTATTTTTATTTTTATACCGTTTTTCTATTATTTTTTTCGCTGACGAAGGCTTTCTGCTGACACGTTCGCTGTTTTGTTGCGTTTATTTTTTCAGGTTTAACCCTACTCTGTTTTAATCATTTGATTTTGTACTAACCTGATTGCAGTCTCTCCCCTTATTATCTCAGACATCGCAGTTAAAGGTATACTCTATTATAGTAACACTACAGATAGAATCTATATGGAGAATAAATTAATAACTAGATTTGTACGTTGTCTCCATATCCCATGAACCAAATCCCCAATTTTACCTAGCTGCCATGTCTTTTTTCCTGTTAGGTTTTTACAATTATGTTAAAATCACTTCCTTCTACTCCTCTTTATTTTGTTTTTGTCTGGTTTTAGCGCCCTCTCCTATTTTCTTTCTGTTTTAGGAAGGATATGTATATTTAAAGTATGTAAATTTAATTTATACTTATTTAAATGTGTTTTGTTTGTTTGTGCTGATGAAGGCATGTGCCGGAACGTTTACTTGTGTATAATGTATAATTATAATTAAAGCGCAACTTATATTGTTATATTGACACAATTTATTCGTGTCTTATTAATCTATTTTTAACCTTTATTGCAGTCCAAAACTTTTTATAATTTGATGATATTAACAGACAGCAAAATATATGTTAAATCATTGTGTTTTCTTAGCCATGCAGGAAGTCTCTCGTCGTTATGTAGGATAAATTCAAAAGAAATATTTTTTTCAAATTATACACTTCCTTGCATATGAACTTAAGAGACTGACAGAAAGTGATTTTCTGATTTCGGCCGAAACCGAAACTGGGCAGAAACCGAAAGCTTAAAGATACTTCCGGCCGAAACCGAAGCCGAAAATGAAATATTTATTTATTTTCAAATTCGTTCACGCCTTCATTATGCCTACATCGAACATGATTTTTTAGTCTAATTCTGCATTCTATTATGTTTCTATATATTTGTATGGTGATTATATTGGTTAGAACTGTTTTAAAATCTGACTAAAAGTTTTTTATGTTATAGCTTTTTATGAGACAAACATAGTAGAGTGCGGCTTTGAGAAATGTTGTAAAAAGTAAGTTGGCGGGTAAAGCACAACCAAAGTTGTGTAAATCGTAGCAATCTGATTCAGTATTGAAGGATCCCTATTAAAATTGCCACTAGTGTTTACGAGTAATGGAAATTCCGAGCATTTTGGCCTGGTCACATTCAAAATCTTATTCTTCCTATTATGCCTTTTTACCCAGTCTGAGACATAGGCCATCCATAAGAATTCTCCATTCAACACGGTCTTGTGCTTTCGTTTCCAGTTTTTTTCCAGGTTTATCCCATATTTTGCATGTTTGCCTCTATCTCGAGTCTACATTTTGTATTTGACATTCCTCTTTCTTTTTCCATGTGGATTCCATGTTGGGACTTGTCTGGTGGTGCTATCTGGGGGTTTTCGGAGAGCATGTTGAATCTATCGCCATCTTTTCTTTAAGATGTCTTCGTCGATGGGCAACTGGTTGGTCGTTTCTAGTAGATCATTGTTGGTGATAATATTTAGCCATTTGATGTTCAGGTTCTTTCTAAGGCATGTGTTTTTGAATGTATGTACTTTCTGCGTAATGCTCACCGTTGTTTTCCAAGTGTCTGCTCCATATAATAGGACTGCCTTTCTAAATAGGGTTAGTCAAAAAGGACTTAACTAAGATAAAAAGTCAAAATTCTTTCTACCTACTATAGATTCTTCCTTCACATCAATAAATTATAAATATGTCCTGCTTCTGGCTGCTGCTTGACACTCTTTAGCATTTAAGGCCTTCATGGAAATGGATGGGGTAGTTCATCAGTACTAAGTGATCCCAAAAGGCTCATGGACCCTGTTTTTCTTGGTAACATTACACAGGAGTTGAATGTTACAAGACCTGGGGTAACTTGTCAGTGTTGCCTATGACAATGTCAGGGAATTCTTCAAAAAACTTGTGTTATGGCTTTTAGAGAAACCTCTTCCATTTCCCAACATTCATAGGACTCATGGACTCAGGCACACCATTCAGTAGTAGCTTAGTAGAAGGTATACTGATGCCATTGCAAAGCTACAGACAAAAATGTGATAAAAATTTTTTAGAATTTAAAACAGACAGCCACTTTTCAGCTTTTTGCTAACTCTTTCGCCTTTTATGTGCAAGATGTCCCGCGCTAGTAACTAAATGGAAAAAGAGGTAAGCATGGACATTTCATTGTATTGTCCTCCACCTTCCCTGAGATTCCAGGTTGTTCAAGCGGAATATATGACTTTTTTAGAGTACCTATCTGTGTGAAAATTTCTTTTCCACTATGCACTTTAAAGAGTCGAAATTCAGGGCCAAACATAGTGATGGGGATCTTCAAGCTATACTGAGGGTCTCAGTTGCTTCCTCACTCAAGCCTAAGTTGCACATGTGTGTACAATGAAGCTCTGCCAAGTCTCAGGCAACAGTGACTAGATGGGAGAAAAATAACTCTAGTTTTTGAGAAACCTTAATGTTTTTATTGTTATTTATAAAGGTTGAGCAGATTTTAACAGTTGTAATCGCTTTTTTGTGGATTACCTAATGCGGTCCAGCATCACTCAGACTCTACCTCCTGCGCCCCCCCCCCCTGATTTTTTGAGTTTCAGACCCTTAAACTAATGAATACTTTGGCTTCTACCATTTTAGCTTAAAAGTAATTATTTTTTTTTTAATGTTTTTTTTAAAATTTGTATAGTAGGAGAATATTTGGAAAAAGGCGGGGGGGGGGGTGCAATTAATGCAAAATAGACACTTGAGTGCCCTTTGCTTTTATATTATAAATACAACCTAGACCAAATATCTACAATAATTATTGTGGCTCCAATAGAGCCAATTGCAACCTAAATATATGTTATTAAGCCTATAAAAAATATCACCACAATGTTTCGCTGTTTTTGTAATACTAATTAATGCTTTGTGTTTTTTATAAAAAAGCTTGCAAGATATAACTGTTTTGATATTCAGCCTAGTAAACACACACTAGTCTTTTCGTGCTGGTGACGTAAATTATTTCCTTCGTCAACCAACCTCCCTCCCCCCAATTGGTGGCGAAAATTATTTGTTTAAACCGGGTCTCTTAAAATTGTTGTTCTGCTGGGTCACGGCGTTGATTCGCAAAAGATAAATAAATTGGTCGCCACTATCATAAAAGTACACAGGCCTGTATTAGACCTACTAACTACATAATTATAATACGAGCCGGTGATAAATTCACACGCATGTCATTTCGGCAATAACAATGTTTGTGGGCGTGAAAATTATGAGTTTCAAGAAATGAATGATTTTAAAAGGCCTAAATTTACTTTTTTTAAATAAATTAAAAAATATGACAAAAATAAAAATTGAAATTTTACCATCCCCATGGATCATGCAATATTATTTATTTTTGCATATGACAACATTGATGATCATGATAATGATAAATTAAAATACATATCCAAAAATGAAAGAATTGAATAAACCTAGGTTTCAAAATTTTGTGTTTATCAAAAAGGAAAAAAAAAAGAAAAAATGGTATAAATATTGCCATTCCTTTAGTTTTTCATCCACAAAACTGTTTACATTTCTCTAGGCCTTAAATTGAAATGCAATATTTTGGAAATATAGGAAATATAGGTTGTCGGCCTCGTGACAGAAAGTCTGACATCTGGTAGATGACCAAAAACCTCAGGCACTTTCGGACGGATGGCCGAAAGTCTAAGTCATTTTCAACCGAAACTGAAATTTAACCGAAAGTTGACTTTTCTCTTTCGGTCGAAACCGAAATTAAGCCAAAAGTTAACTTTTCAGTTTCAGCCAAAACCAAAACTAGGCCAAAAGTGATCAAATGGCCACTTTCGGCGCCGAAACCGAATCCGAAATTCGGTTGGCCTCTAACGAACTTATATTGTTTTAATTTACATATTTGAATTTCATGAATATAATCGCTCACATTTTCTTTTGTGTTATCTCTGGATATTAAAAAAAGTATTGAATTGTTTTCTTGTTTTGCTTAGTTATACAAATGTGTCATAATTTGTTTTCCAAATTTAACTTAAGCTGTTAGGATTGCAATGTACATGACTGTTTGGTAATGTTTAAAAGTCATAAATATACGTATACTATTTCTCAAATATTGTATAGTTTCAGAATTTCACAGAAAAAAAATATAAAAATTGACATTTTTAAATATTTAAATGGATAAAAAAAAATCGTTGTCAATCCAAAAAAAAAATCGTTGTCAATCCAAAAAAAAAATTAAAAAAATTGAAGAAAACAAATTATTTAAATTTTCATTCTCGACAAAACTTTATTTCTTGAAATAATCCTAGAACAGACAAAATATTATAACACAAGAAAATAATGTTTTGCCTTAATCATGAATTAACGGGACAGATCAGTTCACCTCATTCCGAGTCTCAGAAAATACCTTTCAAGCCTTTGGACTCATCTCACAAACGTATTTAAAAGGTGAAGAACAATTGGATGCACTCAGCCGCCGAGACTGAACATTGTACAGAATACAATCTCCAACATTGGACGCATTGTTTGTTGTACCTGTCAAGGATTTAGAACATGTATTAATTGTGGGTTATTCTATAAAAAATAAAATACAAAGCTGCAATCAGTTTGTCCAGTCAAACCTTCACACAATCGCATCGCTTCGTCATCACAACAAAGTTGCTTAAGTTAAAATCTCTTGGCGTCTCTGATTGCATCATTACATGACATAGTTTTTAACATAATCATTACCTTGCATGTCACTACGTCATAAATAACTACCACATTACATGGCATAGTACAAGAAAGATAAATAACTGCAGCGTTACATGACACAACCACTAACACATAAACAACTACTACATTACATGACGTAATTTCTAGTGCTTTAATAACAGAGTCATCACATGACTTAGTCACTAACGCAAACATGGCGGCAGCATTACTTGACACAACCACTAACACATAAACAACTACTACATTGCATGACATAATTTCTAACACTTGAATAATGGCAGCATTACATGAAAGAGTCACTAACAAATAACAGCAGCATTACGTGACTTAATCAGTAACGCATTCATAACTGCAGCATTACATAACATAGTTACAAACACAGAAATAAGTGAAGCATTACATGACATATTCACTAAAACACAACAACTACCACAATGCATGGCATAGCCACTAACACATAAATAACTGAAGCGTTACATGACATAGTCCCTACCACTTAAATAGCTGCAGCATTTCATGGAATAGCAACATCCATAAAAAAAATAACCACAACGTTTACCTGAGTCAAAGAGTAAGCCCCTTAGGCTCTCATCAAATTCGGTTCCGTCTTCCGTCCATCTTAAAGTACCGTTCAACTGTACGTCATTAAGACCAATCCAGTAGTCTTGGGCATTAATTGTTTGTAATAAATTTAGTTTTTCTTCCGTCTTCACTGAATATAGATGTGAATGCATAGCTGGGGGAAAAAAATAGAGCTTTGTCTCATTCTGGAGTGTTTTCAACTAGAAAGTAGTTGATAGATTCCTAGCCTGCAATAGAGCTAAGGTTAAAAAATAAGACACTGACTAGCTTCACCAGCAAGCATGCAAATGAATTGTTAAACTAAAAAAAAATAGAATCTTGAATGGAACTTGATGGAAGTAGGATGTGTATTATGTCGGTTTGATAGCAAGCTGCGCTGCATTCGTATGTGTATGGAGTTTACTATATATATATATATATATGTATATTTATTTATATCAATATAAGATCAGGCAATAGTGACACCGATACGATTGAAGTACGTTGGGATACCTAAGATCAATCATAGTTAGTTTCTATTATTTTACGGAAATCGAATAAATTTAAATTCGCAAAAAATATTTTAAATCTGCTGTTATTTCACTAAAAGTGTAAGTATTATTATTATAAATTACAGATATATTTAAAGTGACAACAAAGGAAATATTTTAAGTAGTTTATCTGAATTTAAATTTATGGAAAAAAAAAGTTCAAAATAAAGTTATGTTTTAAGAATTACGTCGTAATCACATTTATTGGGAAAACCCAAAAAATCAGTTGTTTTTTAGTGCGTTTTTAATGTTGCGAAATAAAATTAAAATTAATTTCTTCTTATTAACACACAAATGACGTCATCGCGTGAATCGCAAATGTTTGCCAAAACTCTTAAGTTTCTTTGATTTAATAACCGCGCGTTAAAAAAACCCAGAATGTATTTACCCCTTCTTAAAAATAAAATTTATAAATTTCATTGATTGCTCTTTAAGTTGTAAATAAAGCACACACACATTTTATCTTTGTATTTTTAACATTTGATAAGTTTTCCTTTTTTAATTCCAAAAATATTCTTTTATTCAATTAATAACGTAATTAAAACGTAACCTTTAAATATACTTCTAATAAGAAAAATCTGTTTAACTCAATCAATGCCGCACAACTCCAAAAAACATTCACTTATACACTTATAACTCATACATATAAGAACGAACCATATGAAGAGCAAAATATCTTAGTTTGGGTATGGAAGGGACTGCAATCCGGTGGAATGTTTTTTAATGTTATATAAATCCGGGTGGAGGAAGCGAAAGGTCACGTTGCCCCAGGCAGCAAAAGATACGTCTCAAATTAAGGAATGAATTTGACAAATAATTCCTTCTTGGATATATATATATATATATATATATATATATATATATATATATATATATATATATATATATATATATATATATATATATATATATATATATAGGAGGAAGAAAAAAGGATGTGTACATTTTCACGTGGAAGACTCTATATTTAAATCCTATGGTATTACATTTGTGAAAAAGAGATGTTACATTTTATTTTTTTTTTACAAATATGTGTAAGTCCATTTTGCCTAAGGCAGCACAAAATAGTCTTAAAATAATTGGAATGAATTTGATAAATAATTAATTATCATGGTTAAATAAATGTCAGAGGTAGGAAATAAGATGTGTACCTTTTAACGTCGATGACATAATAGTTAACTCCTATGATATCACATTTGTAAAATAAGAGATAGTACATTCTCTTTTTAACAAACATATCTTTGCCATTTAAGTTATTTTTTTAAGGCTTTAAATATCTGTACATTTATATTAGTATACCAATGAATATCAAGACTCAATCATTTTACACACTCGAAAAATTAATTTTGAAAAATAAGGATGGGTTAATATTGACTTTCAAAAAATTAAAATATATTTTTGTTTTTACTTTGCAAAAAGTAACCAGATGTCTATTTTTATGAGATTAACAATTTAAATTTAGAAAAAATAGTCATGTTTGCTAGAATCTTCTTTAAATAAAAGAATTCTTTGTTTTACGAGATTCTGATAATGTATAATTTTTTTAAAAAAGGCAAAAGATTGTTTTACATTTTTAAGAAGATAGAAATATATCACATTGCTTTAAAATTAAATCTATTTATATCATATTATTATGTTTTTTTCTCAATTTTAAGGGGAAAAAAGTAAATCAAGGGCACGAAAAGGTGTAAATCTAAAGTACTCCTGTAGCGTAGAAATCGACCCTCAATTAACTTCTTTAGTGAGAAAAATGGTATAATTGCTGCTAATTAAGACGGGGTAATTTAAGGTCATGTTTAGATGGAAAAAAGTAATATAGGGGCGTGAAAGGACGTAGGGTAAATGTTTAATATATAGCAGGTAAATATTTCTCAAAACTTAATGATGTTTGAAACGTAAATATTAAAACATAGATACTTCTTTTTAAAGTTAGAAGTCAGGAAGAGTTTTTGCAATAGCAGGTAGAAATTATCGCGATAGAGCTACCGTTAGTTATTATCCCGATAACATCGGGTAATTTTTGCTAGTGTGTTAATAATAAGATAGTACGGTTACATTTATTGTGATAAACGACTTGATTTTATTCAATATTAGTACGAGATATTTCATCGTGTGAAAGAACTTGATGAATTAAAACATTTAGTAGAGCAGTCTTGAGGGTACTGCTCCTAGGCAACCTCTCTCTCCCATCTACAGTGTGAATTAGTCGCGCCGTAGAATAACCATACAAACCCTAGTAGAGGGCGTCGGTCTTAAACAACTACGCGGTCCCCCCCGGGGTAGTAAGGGTTGACTTTAGAGACGTTAAATATCCACCCCAACCCCCTAGAAAGCCCGGCCCTGTTGCAGCGTGAGTAGCAATCCGGCTGGCCAGGTGTTTCTTCTCTGGGGCTGCCACACTCAGCGGCCAATCGAGTGGAGGTCGGGTGTGGCGGTCTTAGGGGCGGAGCGTCCCTGGCGTGCCACTTCGCGGCCCGATCGGAATAAAGACCACTGGGGGAGTGGTTGAAGGCCGGTCTGGTTGGCGGGGTGGTGCGTTTGGGAGGACCATATGAGCCTCGGCTCGGTGTTTGCTGATTTTCTTAAGTAAGTTAGTTAGTAGAGCAGATGAGTTGACACTTTCCACAGTTCAAACTTCCAAGATCTGTGAGTTAAAATGCTGCTAGTTTTAGTGCATGCGTTAAAAATTATTTTTCTAAAAACAAATAAAGGTGATTAAGAAGATATTAATTAGTAATAGGGATAAAAATAATGCATTCCAAGATTTATTAATGAATTCGAATTAGAGAATATTATTCGTTACTAGCTGTAAACATAACTGGGTCAAAAATATGGCAATGTGAAAAAGGAGATACTAGTCATGATATTTAAACCTGGAACACATTCAGAAAACTCAGGGTCTGATTGTTGACTTCAACGCCAAATTAAAGATAAGGTAGGCACCTTTTAGCATGTGTGGTAAGAAACTTATAGCTAATGATGTTTATGAAAGGTAAGCTGCATCGACGTTACGTCTAAGTGTTTGATTTCCTCTAGCAATCGCTCAGGTAAACAATATTTGTTTCCCGATCAACTAAAGACAGAATCTCTCGAAATGCGTCGGACAGAAAATTAAAGGACGTAGATTAAATAAACCAAGATATGGTAGAGTATTTTCGTATGCTTCATCCAGAAAGGAGGTGCCAAAACAATATGTGTGGCCTTTTCGGATTATTCCTGTAAATACCTTAAGTGAGTACTAGCGGCAATTTCGTTAAAAAAAGGGCGCCTTTTAACAATATATCAAAAAATTCATCTCGTTTTCATACAATTATAAGTAACTTTGGGATATGGCGTCGGTGAACCTTGCAGGGCAGAAACTTGATGCCCTCCCCTGTCACACCTGCACACGGGCCAGACGCCGGATCTCCTCATCGACAGAATTTGTGGCGGCACGCTGATATATTCCCCCGGCCCCATGTGCGTCTTTTCGAACGAAAACGTTGCGTTAAAGCGTTCGCAGTCAACTCTTCCAAAATTTTTGGTGGGTTTGATTTCTCTCCGGGGAAATGTTGTAACATTACGATCCCCCACCGCCCATGGAGTCCTTCTGTCAGGACGAAAAGCTGGGACGACACGATTGCCTCGGAGCAGCTTTCTCACAGTAACATAGCTAAAATCATTGGCATGTGTTTTACCACCCCAAAAACCTCATCTCTATTAACGACCACAAGCAATCATGCTATTTTGTTTATATTCCCGTTGAACTGAGAGTCATACAGTTGACCGGGGTTTTGATCTTCGGGTGGAAATGGCCCCCAACCCACCAATCTGCCTCGCCACGAAGAGGCAACACCTGTGTGGATGTCCCCGAGTCTCCTCGGCGAGTCAAATAACTCGAACAGACCGTTTATTTTTTTTTTTTGTTATATGTTTACTTTTAAAATACATTATGACGGTTAGAACTCTATACAGTTATTTTGAAATGTTGGCTTCATAACATATATTAGTTCAGAAGTATGTCTCTTGTGTGCTTAGATTGTCTTTTTGAATAGCAGCCAGGGGCGGTTAGATTTTGTTAACGTTTGAAAGGCTCAGGCCAGCTTTCACAAACTGTTGGTTTGCAAACAAGCACCAGGTCACGATTCTTACTTTCAGTTATGTATTCATTTTTTGTTTTTGTAAAATCAAACTTTAAAAAAAGAAAAAACAAATTTTTTTCTGTGGTTGAATTTTGAATCGTGACCACCAGCCCGCAAAAATTATAAGTTTGGGAACCACTACAATACGCTACTGTTTTTTACTCAATTTTAGAAATATTTTTTCTCAAAGTCTAAGTATTTTCATATTGGGGTTAAAAGCGCATTGCCTAAATGCAATCATGTCCTTAGTCTTGTCTATTTTTAATGATAACGATTGAAATATATTACTTTTTTTCATAGCGTACCATTCTTATTTATAAGTCATTTTACACAACACGACAAGAAAGTTTCTAAGCCTTGTTTTTACAGTAACTTTACACATTCTTACAAGAAATGATCTAAGATTTGTTGTTAAAGTAAATTTATACAGCACCACAAGAAGTTATCTAAGCCATGCTTTTAAAGTAACTTTACACTACACCAAAAATGTTATCTAAGCCGTGCTGTTACAGTAAATTTACACAACAACACAAGAAATGATTTAAGTCTTGTTTTTACAGTAGCTTTACACCACACAAGAAATTTTCTTACACCTTGATGTTAAAGTAACTTTACACAACACCAGAAGAACTTATATTGGCCGCATTGTTACAGTAACACTGAACACAACCACAAGAAGTGATCAAAGTCTTGTTGTTACAGTAACTTTACACAACACCACAATATATGATCTAAGCCTTATTTTTACACTAGCTTTACACAGCACCACAACAAATGATCTAAGACTTTTTTAAATAGTAAATTTACAGAACACCAACAAATTTATCAAAATCTTGTTGTTACAGTAACTTTACACAACACCACAAGAAATGATCTAAGCCGTGTTGTTACAGTAACTCTACACAACACTCTATGAAATGATCTAAGCAGTGCTGTTACAATAACTTTCGCAACACTCCATGAAATTAGCAAAGCCATATTGTTACCTTCACAAGCTGACTTAGCCTCCTCGTAGATTAATTGTTTATTTTCAGTCTTGTAACACGCAGGCAGTATGTAGCGACTCTCTATTTTAAAGGACGCGCTCGTGTTACAGAAAGCCCCCGTGCTGTACAGGGCGCCTGATAATGAGCTCCGCGCCCCACGGGGAGGAAACAACCATGAACCTGGAAAGGTATACAAGAACTAAAATCAAATTATACCTTTTTACGTTTATTGATACGTGCGTAAAATGAAATGGTTGAATTTAGAACGGGAATGATTTTATTAACAATGTAGTGCAAAATAGAAACAGACCTGCCTTAACAAAGTTACAAAGATAATAGTTCATAATAAACTTGAACTGCAGAGGCCTTCTTGGCAAGTTTTAGCGAAAACATTTAATTTATTTTAAAATACATTTGTATGTATTATTTTTTTACTTTTATTTTTAAGGTAGTTTATTAATATACTTGTAAAAACACTACTAACTTTATACTGCTAAAAAAATGTATTAAAAAAAAATATATATATTTATTGACATGAAAAGTATATATTATTTTTTTGCTTTAAAAGACATATTTGAAAAATAAATAAAATAAATATCTTTAATTACCAAGTTGACATTGCCGTGTGATATTGCTGTAGGTAAAACTGTAACACGTAACATTCGATAAACTGAGACAGCGCTGGGCACATATGATGATGTTCACATTTAAGTATGTGATGTTTAAGTACGTCATGTCAATCAACGTGTCTTGAACCTTGCTGAAATTCGAAACCAGCATCTTGCACAGGCTGATGGAAACTTGCGGGGGGGGGGGGAGGGAAAGATAACACAGTTGAAATTACTTTTTTTTGTTTTTAATTTTACATATGAATAATGTCGTTTTTATGTGGGTGTCCGAGCACTCTAAATGGGGTCAATTAAAAAAAAAAAGTTTGTGGACTGGAGCTCAATCCTCAACAATGCAAAGACGAGCAAACCGGCTTATCCCACATTAAAACAAAAAGAAACCCCAAGCCTTGAGTTTTCGTCTTGCGACGTCATCATGGGATATATATCCTACTATAATGTAATATAGATGTTTCATAGTATGATAGTCCAAAACATTAATTTCCACATACACACGTCAATTTTGAATTAGTACTTTATGGTACTATATAAAACTGTAAAAGAAAATCACACAACAGTTCAGGCGTTGCGCACTCCGTTCCTTTTGTCTTTAGAAAGTTAATTGTCCTAGAGATTTTGGCCATAAGATCGCCTGAACACTTGCAAGCCTAAGTCCAAATTAGTGTCATTTTAAATTTATGATGGCAATGTACGTGTTCTTTTCTTTTTTGCATGCAAATAATCTTCATTTGAAAAGTGAAATAACATAGTACTTCTATAGAAAAAAATGTTTGTTTAATATGTTTAACATTATTAAATTTTAAAATAAAAAAAATATTTGAAATGTATGTATTATTGTTCGTTATGTGTACATATCAACTATATTAGACGCAATTACGCTACGATTATTTGCTGTGATGTTAATCATAAGAAAGCCCATTAATCTAATAATTTTCCATAAGATTTAATTTTGTGTGTTTCAGGTTAAAGAGGCTTATCGAATATCTTGTTGGAATACACATTTAATTCAACTGAGGTTAAACATATCATCAAGCCCTCAAGGCTTATCAGCGAACCGTTTACTAAGAAACAACTAATATGTCGACTTCTTACCAAATGCTTGGAAACAAACAAGAACTCTCGTATGGATTAACATTTTAAACTGCTAGACCACATTCCATTTTCCGTGACTGTAATCCGTCTGTCCTCACAAGAAAGTAGTCCTGCGCTCTGTTACTCACCAAACTACTGATGTTACACGATCTCGATGACCTGCGTGTGATCTCTCAGACAAAGTATCATCAAAGGGACGTGGCCGATACCAGAAATCAAAAAATCGATAAATAGGGCTGAGGTAAATGAGAATGGAAAACATTAAATCGTAATCAAATAAACTTGGATGCGAATATTATTGGTCTTCAATGTGTAAACAAGAGATCTCTTATCAGCGGGGGAGTTATGTTAGCCAAGGTATTGCACCATTCCGTGATAAATTGTGTACCATGATCTGGGGCAAAGCTTGGCTTGGCATATCGTGATATCTAGTTAAATGCATCAGGTATAATATAATATTATAGTGCAGGGGTCGGCAACTTTTTGAGACGGAAGAGACAAAAGTAACAATTTAAAAAAAAATCCCAGTTTTTAAAGAGCCACTAACATTTTTATTTCAACATAATTATTAATATTTGCGCATGGAACTGGAGAGCCGCATCTTGACATAAAAAGAGCCGCAGGCGGCTCGCGAGCCGCAGGTTGCAGACCCCGTTATAGTCTATTGCTCCTCATTTTTCTATAACTATTTTTGGGGGATTTAGTTATATAAATTAAAACATTGAAGACTACTTAATCAATTACCTATTGCTAGACATTTAGTCTTAGACTAATTTTAAATAATTGCCAACTGGCATCATAGTTAAATAAAGACATGTCGCGTTACGTAATCCTATTTCATTACTGATTTACGCTTAACGTCAACTATTGAATCCCAGTGCATGGATACCCACAGCTTAACTCTCGGTGCATTCATTTCTACAACTGTATTCACTGTGCAAATATAATTAGAATTGACCTCTTGGTGCACTCATTTCTACACCTGGGCTCCCAGTTCATGGATATCTTTAACAAGCTCCCAGTGAGTCCAAGTGTATGGATATGTACAACTGACAACTGGACTTCCAGTGTATTGATATCTACAAAGGGATTCCCAGTGCATGGATATCTACAATTGGTGTAGTCATTGAATTAACAATTCATTTTAATTATATCATGAACAATCATTTAAGTATTAAAAAAGGTAAACTTCATTATATATTCCACGCCTTAGGTTGTTCTTATCTGATAAAATACCGTTCAAATGATTTATCCACAATGACATAATGCTAAAACTGCATTTACCCCGCTTTTTAAACGTTCGCATTCCTTTACATAAACATGTAAAGAAAATAAATGTATTATGCACAATCAATTTAATTAAATAAATTTGGATTTCTCTTGCCTGTAATATATTTTTTTATGATACACTGGCTGTAATATGTTGGCTGTGATATGTTGGCTGTGATATGTTGGCTGTGATATGTTGGTTGTGAAATGTTGGTTGTGAAATGTTGGTTGTTATATGTAGATATAATATGTTGCTTGTGATATGTTTGCTGTGATATTTTGGTTGTTACATGTTGGCTGTGATATGTTGGTTGTGATGTGTTGGCTGTGATATGTTGGCTGTGATATGTTGGCTGTGATATGTTGGTTGTGATATGTTGGCTGTGATATGTTGGCTGTGATATGTTGGCTGTAATATGTTGGTTTGAAAATGGTGGCTGTGATATGTTGGCTGTGATATGTTGGCTGTAATATATTGGCTATGAACTATTGGGGTTGATATATAGAATAGTAGTTACTATCCTAGTGTCTCATTTGTATTTACTTAGTTTACATGTTTTAATAATTGTAAAGCGCTTAGAGCTTTATGATAAGCGCTATATAAAAACGTCTAAATAAATAAATATATTTGCTCCAAAAACGTTAGCTGCGATATGATGGTTGGGATATGCTTGTTGTGAAACTTTGATTGTGATAGGCCTACACTGGCTGTGATATGTCAGATGTGATATGTTGGGTGTGGTGTGTTGGCGTTGTCATGTTGGCTGTGATATATGGATGTGATATGTTAGTTGTGATATTTTGGTTGTTATATGTGGATGTGATATGTTAGTTGTGATACTTTGGTTGTGATATGTTGGATGTTAGATGTCGGCTGTTATATTTTAGCTGTCATATGTTGGTTGTCATAATTTGGCTTTGCTACGTTATTTGTGTCACGTTGGCTGTGACATGTTGGCTGTGATATATTGGATGTGATATTTTAGCTGTGATATGTTGGCCGTTATATGTTGGTTGTTTTTTTAATTCCAATTTACACTGTATTCTCCTTGCACTTTATTTTATTTTAAAGCTCACAGCAGGGATAGCTGAAATGCGGCCCTAGGCCACCAGAAAAAAATAGTCCGATTTAATCCTAGTTTTTAATATTCGTTCTTTAAATAACTAATAAAAAAGTAGATTTAAATCAACACTTATCTTGTTATATTAGTTCTATTCTGTTCTCTAATTTTTATTCTTTTCTCCTAGTTATATTCTGCCCTCTTAGTTTTATTCAGTTCTCTTAGTTTTATTTTTGTTATTTGTCTATCAAGTTCATTCAGTCGGTGTTTTAGTTTAATATTTTTTTTTTTATCTTAGGTGAAATTGTTGCCAGGGAAAAGTATTTTTGGCTTTCAAATTGGTCACCGTGAACTAAAGCCTTGCATACACACTTGTTCCGGTGTTACCTTCGGTGGGTTGTATTTTATTGAAAATTTCCCATCTTCCCTTATACTTTTTTTTAAATATTGTTGAACAAGAAGATATTTCATCCTGACCCCCTGTCCATTTTCAGTTAACATAACATAAACTTGGATTATATCCCTCTATCTTACACATTTCTTTTCTCAGATATAGATTTATATTGTTCAACAAAATGAAAGTTTACAGTGTATTTTATTTTTCTGTCAGCACTACTGTGTAAAGTGCAAACCGATATTTCTATTGTATATTCATTTTTGCATTGTTGGCTAACTGGACGACAAACTACTGGGAGACCAAAAAAAAAATATCAATACGTTATCTGTCACATTATGCTTAGGGATATTTAATCAATGAAACTGTTTTAAACTGATCAATTGAAATTTCATCAATGAACCATCTTTCAACTGATCAATTGATATTTGATGGAGGCCCGTTCTCAAATTGAACATTTAATATTTGATTGATGAACCATTCTCCAATTAAACATTTAATATTTGATCCAAGAACCAGCATTCGATTAAAAATTTGATATTTGATCAATAAAACAGGCTCCACTAGAACAGTTCATATTTGATTAAAAAACCAGTCTCAAATTCGATATTTGATCAATGGACCATTCTCCAATCGATCATTTGATATTTGATTAATTAACCAGTTTCCAATTGACCATTTTGATATTTCATCAATGAATTTGACATCTATTGATTATTTGATATTCACGATTAGATAACATTTTATATCCTTATTTTCCAAAAAAAATATTCTTTAGATGTTTCATTGTAATCAATCACATTCGTCTCATCAATGTTTGTTTATTAACAATTTTTTACGTGACTGGTAACAAGGACATCTCTTCACGGTGTCCGTTGAAAACAGCAACATTTTTTGGCAATGTTAAATGTATTGAATTATGACTATGTTGACCTAAATTGAAGAAACAGCACATTGAGGAAACAGAAGACTGGGTGAAACAACATTAATAATTGAAACAGCACATTAAGTGATACAGCTCACTAAATGATACAGCTCACTAAATTAAACAGCACACTAAGTGAAACAGCACACTAAGTGATACAGCTCACTAAATTAAACAGAACTCATAATGACCATCTGCTCTGCGAAAAGTTAAAAAAATACTCCACCCTTTACATTTAGAAAATTTAGAAATATAGAAAAAAAAATCTATCATAATAACATACTTTTTTTTCACAGTAGGCAATGAATCGCTTTTACAAAGAGATGGAATCAGAATCAAATTCTACACAATTTGTCTTCCATTCTTTTTTTAAATTCATATTTTCCTCTATATTTTGTTTGTTATTTTCACTGTTATTAGTACAATGTTTAATATGCTAATGTCTTTGGCTTACTAAAAATTTGAAGCATATGAAACATGAATACCTAAAGTTTAATAAATAATTCAAATTAGATATTGTAGAAATTTATTATTTCAAGAATACTAATACTAGTAACTAAGTGAATTACATTTATAGATATATTGATAGAATTGAAAATTGTGAAATACAGGTTACATAAAAATGTATTCCTGTTGTCTACGATTTTAGTAAACTTTTTGTTTAAGGAACGTTAATTCGATTTCTTACCGTACAAAAAGTATTCTTTGTTTGAATGTTAAAATTGTAGATGCTGATTGGTTATGTGAGACGCATGTGTTATGACCTGTGACTTGTTTCTTTTTTGTCAGCACTCTCTCTATCAGAAACACATCAACCTCTAGGTCAAAAGAAATTAATATTATCAAACAAGATAATAAGACAAATGTAATATACAATATAAAAATTTAAAAAAAAACTATTCGGATATTTTGACAGAACACTCTCCAACGCAAACAAATAAAGCTCATTGAGTAAGAAAAAAACCTAAGCTATTCTATCAATTTATTGTAAAGTTCTTATCATATGAAAAAAAAATAATATAATAATATAACAATAATAATAATATAACAACAGTTTTGTTTTCGTTGGGTTTTTAGGTCGTTATTATGTGTTGTCCCTATCACTTATGTTTGTAAACAAATATCATTGTCTTTTTCCAGTATTTTACAGTATTTTCATGCAAAGTATCTAGCTTTAATTATAGCAGGTTTCTAATATTCTCAAAAAGTTTAACTAACTTTACATGGAGAACATTCTCAATACTCTCAAACAATGTAACATACTTTATATATAAAACTAGAATAACTATGTTATCGGGATGTTATAGGGCCTTTGCGATAATTTCTAACTGCAATTGGAAATCTCATCCCAATTCATACCGTTAAAATTGTAAATGATATTTACGTTTCTAACATCATTACGTTTTTAGAAGTGTTTATCTGCTATATATGAGACGAG